GACGCTTGCGTTTCCGCGGTAAAAAATTTCTCGTTTGATGTTCCCGATAATTTTCCATTTATCCTCCGCTATTTCAAAGTCAAAGATATTTGGAAAGGAGAAGGAAAATACGGTTTTATAATTGTTGGTGAGGATGGAGGAATTAACGAAGTATGTAATGGATTATACGGTTCGTTCGAACGGTGTGCGGAAGATATGAGAGAAATATGTTTAGAAAATGATAAGAAAACTTTAGTAGTGTTTAAAGAGATAAGTCCAGGAATGAAATATTATAAATTTTCTAAATTTTCTAAGAGTGACAAAGTTGATTAATATGTATTTCAAACATCCCAGTACTTGTGTAATTGCCAGTCCTTCCCAATCTGGAAAAACCACATTGGTGAGAAAAATGATTCACAACAAAATTTATGAAAATCCTTCGAAGAAGATTTTATGGTATTACTCCATGTATTTACCGTTTTCTCAAGTATAAAAGGATATTACATTTATGTACGGCTTACACGAAGCTGTTCAAGGATGGGCTTTGATAATAATCGATGATCTGATGCACGAACTGTCTCCAAAAACAGAATTTTTATTTACGACAGAATCTCATCACTGTAATGTAAGTGTGATTTTAATAATGCAAAATTTGTTTCCGGAAAATAAGATTATGAGAAATATAAGTTTAAATACACATTATTTGATTTTATTTAAAAATAATCGTGATGAGAGTCAGGTGAATTGTTAACCTAGATAGACTGTTAATCAAACAGTAATGTGATTTCTCTTCATATTGTAAATATAACAAATTTACATGCTTATCTAGTTTATTTTTTGTTATTCTTAGAGGATATATTTCATACTGCTTTTCTCTTTTATTTTTAGACTGTTTTTCTGTTTTTTTTTTCTGTTTCTTTTTCAGCTAAAAAAAGGAGAATGATTTTAAAAAAAGAAGAAGAACGATTTGGAAAAAAAAGAAGGGATTTGAAAAACAAACGTTATAGATGCAAATGTATATATCTAAAAACGTTATAGATGTTTTTCTTTTAAAGACAGATATAAAGTTCTTGTTGTTAGTATATCTAAAAAGCGTCAGTTTCGGTAAACTATATTCTGAATTTATATCTTGAGCCCTACAGCTCGTAACAATATTATAAAAGTTGTACAGATAATACTATATAACTGGAATCGGTCATAAGAAAAACTTCGGACTTCGATTTATTAAAGTTTTGGTAAAAATCAAAATTCTGTGCAACAGTTGATCGCTGATCAATAATAAACCATTCATAAAATATTTCAGCTGGTCTTGTTAAATAAAATTGTTCTGTCAATATCAATGTCTCCATGCTGTCCAGAATCTAAAAAATACATAACAGATACTTGTGCAAAATTATAATTATTTTCTTCTTTTAGTAATTTTTCGTTGAAATTTTTGATATTTTGAGCTCGATTATATGAAAACTGCGTCAAAAAACGCAACGCTTTCATTTGCTGAGAAATTTAATAAAAAGCAAACGTTTCCAGCCAAATCTGAAGACCATCATCAGGCTAAAATATTCAAATATAAACAAAATAGAACAAAAATTTCAATACAAATGAAATAAAATAACGAATGAAATATACATATACATGTATAAAAAAAAAATTAAATAAATAACAAAATATGTATATAAATACATGCATAAGTTAATTAAATATTAAAAATATTATATACTACATTACATAAAATTCAAAGAAATGCAAGATACGCAAAAATACTAAAATGAAGGCAATAAATTAAGAGATCTCTAATCGTTTAATTAAGTATTTTCAGGCTGAAGGCAACCCTTCAGAATCTCTAGAATTAATGCACGGATCATGCAATCTGCTCTTATATATTTCAATTTTTTTTGGTGCAAATCGCCTATGTCGGTGAATTTAATGGTTTAATAATACTTGCTTTGTCCCATTTGATGACTGAGCTATCAACTTGCGCTAGTTGCGATAGTATCCTGTCGTTAGATTCTTTGCTGATATTGTATTTATGTTCTTTTAATCTGACTCCTAAGTTTCTATTAGTGACGATATGTAATTTTTATTAATGTCTAGTTCAAGATTTTCATACAGAATCTTGTATACTCCCACTCGTTTTTCTTTATCTATGCTGTCTTTGTCGTTCCTTAATTTGTACAAGTTAAGAGCTCTCTTGAAAACTAACTTGGACTGTTTGCGGCTGAGATTTCCTTCATGATGGCTTTTTTCTTTTTATCATTAGTTAACTTTGTGATTTTGCAGAAATCTCTGCTTTGAGCCATAGTTTTGTTTATTTTGTAATCTCTGATCAATGTTGTTGTCATATCCACTCTGTAATATCTACTCTGGCAATTAGTAGTAGCCTATTAATTTCTTTTTGCCAATCCACCACACTACTGCAATAGAGAAAAACCCTTTGGACAAGGGCACGGAAAACAGCCATTTCAAATTTGTAAAAATCATTCAAGTGGGACAAAATGTACAGAGGGCTATGCGTTGGTTTTATGTACACCTTAGTGGCCAAATTTCTTTCTTTCAATTTAATATCAATATCTAAAAAATATATTCGTGAGGAACATTTCTGTTTAATCTTCAGCAATCTTCTGTTTATAATCGTTGTTGTTGATCTTGATAATAAATTCATCGATTTTTGGTCATTCTTTCAAATTACCAAGACATCGTCTACATATTTTTTAAAATACACAATGTCATTCAAGGAGAAAGAGCACTTTTTTTAATTTTTTTAACCCTTTCCATGCGGCGCATTTTTTGAATTTTTTAATAATTTTACAAGCACACACAACAGTCTTGACATGGGACTTTCCATCAGGACTCCTTTTTTTTGTCTGTACTGATAATCATTAAAGGCGACATCAAGGTGACATCATTAAAATAAGGTTAACTTTTATGAATCTTTTTTCATTGAGTTTACCTCAATGAAAACTGCTTCATTTAATTAAGCAACTTTTAAATTTTCGTTTTAACATATGTTACGGTTGAGATTTTCTGTTATAAAATTTATTCTTCCATGCTGAAAATAAAACTGTTAAATCTATCTGCAAATATTTTCCCAAGTCCAGTAATAAAAGTAGAGTTTTTGCAATTTCAACGCAAAATTTTGTACATAGTCAGTTCATTTTTATGCTAATTCCAATTGTATTTTATTAACGAGTATTGTATGTACCTGGCATTATATGGTTTTATCACAGAAAAATTTAAAATACATGAAATTATTAATTTTACGAAAATACTGTTTAAAAAATATTTGAATCCTTATATGCAACAATTTTCAGTTTAATTAAAAAAAAATTAATTTATGTTTAAACAATAAATCAATGTTTTCAGGCTGTATAGACCTTAGTGTCAATCTAGGGTCTGAGAAATAATGATACAAATGTGACCACAGAGTCGCTATCTCTTTGATACCACGTCAGGATGACACTACTGTATCTTTAAATTAATACAGAGACCACCAGTTCGCGCAAGCAGTTAGGTATGAGGTTTGGACCCGGAATGGAGAGAAAAACGGAAAAAACTGCACTCAAGAAGTTTTAAACATAAACAACCGTTTATTTATACATAATCTAAATTAAGTTTACATCAGTTAATAAACTACTTGAATCATGTTTAGTTATTGATCATTTTGTATTTCTAATTACAACCGGTTTCGCTTTTAGTTTACGCGGAGAGAGAGAGACATACAATAATGCGCGGGCAAAATAAATACCTTAGAATTTACTGTTAATTGGTTATCAGCAATAAAGTCTCACAGTTCGATGTTGAATAGGTGAATTGATATTGTTCAGTTCAGTCGTTGAGAGGAGGTGTTGTGTTGTGACAGGAACAGTCTCTGGAAGACAAACACACACACAATCAAAAACAACTTCCACACCCTTACTCATCGTGCCTGTCCTTTTTATATCAAGTCCTCATTTTTGGACCTTTCTCTCCGATTTCGTCAGCGATGACGATCTTCTTGGTCCAATGAGGTGACAGGTGACACAATCGTGACACAGAAATGTACTCATTTTAACAAGGAACCCAACTCGTGAGAATCGAGGTTTTTATCGATTTTATTTTTCCCTTTTCTCTTTTTATTTTTTTAATTCTCGTTTTGTCTTTATAAAGTTTATTAAAAATTAAAAATTTAAAGTTTATAACACGTAATTTCTGACCCTCACACAAACTTTAATCTAAATAAGTTTTAAAATAAAGATTAGTATAAAGAACACAAACGAGATTTTATTTATAAAACATATACACACATATTTTAAATTTTTTGCTTAATTTAACAAATAAATCAAATTTTTGTAAATTTCAGAATCTATTCCAAGCAAATTAATTCAGAAAGAATACATCGTGCATGTTGTAAAAGAGGAATCTGTTTTTGCAACTCAAGTGACTTTCTTCTATAAATCTGGCAATAGAGGATTTCCATTTACTGAAGCACTTAAGACGTCTTCTTTCACAGAAGTAGAAAAGAATTACGTTAAAATTGTAAGTTATTGATATTATTTATTCAATTAAACTGATTAAACATTTTATACTCTAAACTTTTATTGCATAATTTTTAGTGAAAAATTATTGCATAACTAATAGTTTACAGTCTATAACAGGGCTTCCCAAACTGTGCGTCGCGACGCTCTGGGGAGTCGCGGCGCTATCATAGGGGCGTCGCGAGACGATACCCACCGGTCGCCTGCACACGACGTAATGAGTGAGTGCGCAGCGCATGCGTCTCATCACCCCGCTTCTCCAATTTTCCGCTCTTTCGTTCAGTATTTTGTTTTCGTCGATTATAAGCGTTGAAGAATCAGTGTTTTGATTTCAAGTGTGTTCTATTTAAATTGGGCATTGTAAAATGGATAACTTTATTCAAATAAATAGAAAACGTGTTGAAGACTCAGGAAAGAGTACAAAGGAAACTGTAGAAAAACGAAAAAAATACAGAAAATATGATGACCAATATTTAGATTTTGGATTTACTTACGTTAGCAAAGGAAATGTGGAACTACCCCAATGTGTTGTTTGTCATAAGGTGCTGGCAGCTGAAAGTATGCTTCCTAATAAATTGAAACGTCATTTAGAAACAGTTCACAGTAATTTACAAGGAAAACCGCGAGATTTTTTTGCAAGAAAATTGCGAGAACTGAAACATCAGTCGACATCCTTGTTTTCCAGAGCATCTATTTCCTCCAAAGCACTGCTCGCCTCTTATAAGGTCGCTCACCGTATTGCCAAATGCAAGAAACCACACACGATTGCTGAAGATCTTATTTTACCTGCAGCGATTGATATGGTATCAGTAATGATTGGAGAATCGGCGGCTAAAGAAATAAAAAATATTCCTCTTTCTAACAATACGATTAGTCGTCGCATTCATGACATAGCTGAAGACATTAATGAGCAAATTGTGGAAAAACTTTCTGGTTTATATGCCATTCAACTGGATGAAGCGACAGACAGTAATAACGACGCTCAATTAATATGTTACGTGCGGTACATGGAAGGAGCAAATGTATGTGAGGATTTGTTATTTTGCAAAGAAATGACTGATACCGGGAAGGCTAGTGATTTGTTTGCGATCATAGATTCATACATGAAAGAAAATAACATTCAATGGGAGAACTGTGTTGGTGTGTGTACAGATGGAGCTCGCGCGATGTCAGGGCAATATGGAGGACTTCAAGCTCTCATTAAAACCAAGGCACCAAATGCAAAATGGACACATTGCGTCATACATAGGGAGGCCCTGGCTACAAAAAATATTTCACCTGAATTAAATCTTGTGATTGATATAATTATTAAAGTGGTAAACTTTATAAAAACAAGACCCGTGAAGGCAAGATTTTTCCGAAAGCTTTGTGAAGATTTGGGTGCCGAGCATACATCTTTACTTTATTACTGTAACTCTCGTTGGTTGTCGAGAGGTAACGTACTCTCACGTGTATACGAATTAAAACATGAGTTGTACACGTATTTATTGATAGAATCTCATCGTGACGCAGAAAAGTTTAAAGATACTGACTTCTTAATAAAACTGGCGTATCTTTGCGACATATTTGAGAAATTAAATGTCCTTAATAAATCGCTGCAGGGAAACGAAACGCATATACTGCAACTGGCTGATAAAATTGCAGCGTTTAAAAAAAAGTTGCTGTTGTGGAAAAGAAAAATAGAAGAGGAGCATGGAAATACTGACTGTTTTCCTGTTTTAAATGGCTTTCTGCAAGAAAAGTCTATTCAAAATCTGGAGCCAAGTTTGCAGTTGATATTTATCCAACACTTATCAACACTAAGCACCCATTTTGATACATATTTTCCAAAGAATGTAAATCAATACGACTGAATTAGAGACCTATTCCAATCGATCCCAACCCCATCTACACTTTCAACAGTCGAGGGAAAACAGCTATTAGAACTATTTTGTGATACGAGCCTAAAACTTCGATTTGATAAAAACGAACTATTTCAATTTTGGATAAATGTATCTCAAGAATATCCTGCTATCAGTACTACAGCTTTGAAGGTTCTTTTACCGTTTACTACATCGTACTTGTGTGAAACTGGCTTTTCTGCAGTTGCAGTAATCAAGTCGAAATACAGGTCACAAATAAATTTAGAAAAAGAAATGAGAGTAGCGATTTCCAAACTTCAGCCCTGATTTGAAAAGTTATGCTCAGAAAAGCAAGCTCATCCTTCTCATTAATTGTACTGTTATGTTTTCTAATAAATAATAATTATTAAGATTTTATATTCTTTGGAGTTTTCTTTGAATAATAAAGTAATTTTAATGTCTGCTACAGCTACACGCAGGTATCTTCTTTTAGAAGGGCGTCGCAAAAAAATTACAGCCAGTAAAGAGAGTTACGGTATAAAAAAGATTGGGAACCCCTGGTCTATAATATCAACAAATTTTACATATCTTCAAAATGACGTTGTTATTTTATTACATTTTCAATTTGCCAATCTGTTGTCTGTGACAAAGCAATCCATCTTCACTTTCTGGCTGGTCACATGGAATTTTCAAAGTTTTGTCACGAACACACACCTAAGTGAAGCGAGTTATTTTTTAATTCTTCTCTGGAAATACTCTTACAAGCGTCTTACAAGCAGCTCGCTTATGTCTGAAGCTGCCAGTAGTATGCTTTTGATACATTCTGGTTTATAAAATTAATTAGTATTAATTAGTATATAAATTTAACCCTGCGTTAGTGCACTGAATTTTTTTCGGCATTAGTGCAGTGGGGTGTTTGTCTACCCACTCATTTTTTTGGTCCATAAACCATGTAAGTAAAAATTCATAAAGTTTTACTCATTTATT